GTCGACGTTTAAGAAGGTGAAGGTGGCGAACCGAGATTACAAACAAAACACGTCGGCAAAGCAGCTGTCCCGAAAGCTGTATACGAATCTGCGCACAAAGTTCGACTGTGTCGTCATGGACGACGAAGCTTATGTGAAGGCGGATTTCAAACAGCTTCCGGGACAGGAGTTTTATACCGCATCAGGAAAAGGGAAAGTGGCTGAAATTTTCAAAACCATCAAACTATCGAAGTTCGTGTGGTCTAAAAAGCGGCATTTTCATTACTACGGGAACCATCAATCAAGCGATCTATGTCCAGGAGTGCCTGGAAAAGCGGCTGCTACCATTCCTAAATCAATATAATAGACCTATGCCGTGCTAGCCGGACTTGGCAAGCTGCCACTATGGGAAAAAGGCAATCGAGTGGTACGATGCGAACAACGTGTTTGTGGTACCCAAAGACCACAACCCTCCCAACAGCCCAGAACACCGCCCTTTCGAACGGTATTGGGCCTTGGTCAAACGATATTTCAAAAAAAAAAAAACTAATAAATCCATTGAAAACGAGCAGCAGTTTAAATCTAACTGGCGTTTGGCGGCGAATAAGGTCGATAAGACTACTGTGCAAAATTTAACGGAAGGGGTTAAGTGGAAGGCACGGCAGTTCGGATTCGGCAAATCAAAAGAATAAACGAACATTTTTTCCTTGAACTACCAAAAGAAAAATAAGGAGATTTTTGTGATATGAATTTTGACTGAAAGAAACGATTTTTTTGTCTACCAATTTTTGCGCGTTCCAGTCTTTAATTCAATTTCGTTAGTTTAAGGTTTATTGTTGAACGTATTATGGATCATTTGAAATATGTTTATAGGAAATTCGTACAATTTCAATGCTCATTCTTGAGAAATTTAGCGGTACATTTTACATAAAATATGGAACACATTGGGATTTTTAATGGATTATTTACCATTTTTTTAGGGATTCACCGGGCTGTTATGGATCAATTGGATGTTTTTTAAGGAGCGTCTATCAATTTCTTATGGATCATTTTTATGTTTGTATACAGCCATTCCATAGCAAAACGATATAGTGGCTCTCAGAATTTCGGAAAAATTTGTAGTTTTGTTCTTTATCGCAAAATATTAGATGCGTATTTGTTTATTTTGGCATTAGGGTGGCATCACAGACAAACAGACATAACACATTGAATATTTCTCACTGTAAAACATCGTCGCTAAAACATTACCGCCATCTGTTGAATACACTGTGGTGGGTAGTACGCTGAACAGATGGCGGTAGTGTGCAAACGTCAAACGCAAGGGAATTGACTATGCGCGCCACAGGTGGCGGTACTACCAACTACGATACTTTTAAATTGACCGTTAAATGCTTGTTCGATGAACAACTTGCGAGTGTTATGTCTGTTTGTCTGTGGTGGCATGTTAGGGCGGTCCAAAAAATCTTTTTTTTTTTCAAAAATGACAATGCAACTGGGCCGATTTGAAAGATCAAAATATCAAATAAAGGTAATCAAACATATTTTTAAGGAAAACTATAATGATACTAAAAATTTGGAATTTTGTATTGAAAGACATTGATTGTATTAGCTTTTAATGGTTTTCATGGTTTGTAGATAGAGAGCACAACAAGTTTTTATATTTTTCTTTGAAAATTTAGATTTTTTTACACAACACACCAAAAAATCAGCGATGTGTTTTTCTTGCTTTTGAGTTATATTTTGTTGAAGTTATCAAGTTTTGGGTTTTTCCTCAATACTCCTATACGACTAAACTACTATGCGTCTCCTTTGATTTATAGCGACTGTAATATCGATTTTTGACAACACTTTGAACGTCAGCTGATTTTGAGAATTTGTCTGTTCAAAAACCAACAATTTAAGGATCACTTAAAATAACTAACTTTTTGTAAAAGTTGCTTAAATTTACTGAAACATTTCGAAAATTTCACATGATTCTATGGAAAATCATCTCTACAATTCTAATTGATGGGTCCCAGTTTGTCCCCCTTGCCCCAAGAAGCTAAGACATTATGTTTTAAACTTTCGGTACCAAAGCTATTCATTCTAAAAATTAGATATTGCTCCCATTTCAATTCGGAACCATTTCTGAACCGATTATGATGAACTAGCTTTAAATACATCGGGAATTTATTCTACATTTTTTAGGTTATGGGTAATTTTTATTACAAAAAAAATATTTAAAAAATTATTTTATTTCTAAACAATAGTTGTAACCCCACGTATTTCTTAAATATGTTTAATCACAGCAAGAACTATGACCATATCAACAAAATTAAAAACTTGTACCAATTCCTGACCGATTTAAAGCTATTTCACCTAAATCGGTCAAATATGAAATGGGAGTAAAATCCTTTTTTTTTTGTAAAAAAAACTTAGCTACGCATGTTTAAAAAAAAACCGATATGGAGGAGCGTGTGATTATTATATCAAACATAAGCAGTTATTATGTTCAAAAAGTTGTAAGGAGTTACATCAGTTCAGTAAGAGTTGTTTGGTGGTTTGTTTTTAATATAGCGTTTTTTTTATAGACGGTCCAAGGTGGCTATTTCCGGTTTGCGAAAAACTGTCAAATAGCTAACAATATACATATTTTCGGAACGGGGACAACGTGGCCGGACATCGATGATTGACTTCATTTTAGAATCCAAGATGGTGAAAAACTATCGAATACCCTAAAATATGGGTATTTTCTAAACGATGACGACGTATACTGCCGTTCTACGCATAACTGTCCCATGTATGCAATCCTTATGCACAGTGGGACTCTTATGCGTATAACGGCAGTATACAGGACGGAAATCAATGATTAACACCATTTTGGTATCAAAATGGCTACTTCCGGTTTGTTAAAAACTGTCAAATAACCAAAAATGTAGATATTTTCGGAACGGAGACGACGTGTAGAGGCTGGAAATCGATGATTTACATCATTTTGTAATCCATGGTGACTTCAGGTTTGTGAAAAACTGTCGAATGCCCTATTCAGTGGCGTTTCCTTAACCTCAATCTACCTGTGCACCAACTCTCAAAACATAAAAATTAACAAAATATTGCTTGAATAGATATCGAGTAAACTAGAAGACTAAGTGTATTTTTCAACCGATTCTAGTATGAATATGGCATTAAATCTGGATTTGAAAGTTGGTGCACAGGTAAAAAGTGAGGATACGCGACGCCACTGACCCTATTTATATCACGGTGAAATATGAAAGGAAACCTTAATATTAAAAAAAAAACATAATCCTCCTAAAGATAATAAATTTAAAAACATAACAAATTTAATTATAGGATTTATTATTGAAAAATTAGATTAAAATGGAATAATTTAAAATTATTAAATATTGAAATAATTGATATTGAAATGAAGCACACACCAAACGAACGCTTAGGCTCGCCCCTTTTCATATTAGGCTAGTATGGAAATGTTCAATCAATAGTCAACAACTGTTATTGATAAAATTGTTTTCTATAAATTGATGTAAAAAAATACAATTATAAATATCTAAAAAAATGCACTTTTTTTGTCATTGAAATTTTCAACAGGATTCTATTTAGTTTTAACCACAGACAAACACACGTAGCTCTTCATTCTGGATCATTTAAAGTGTTTTCTTGTAGAGTCCATTTTTCCAATACACCTCGCAATTTCAAGAGCACACAACTCAAGATCTACGAGATTTATACATCTGCAAATTTTAGACGTTCATAGAAACCTTAATATATTTATATGTGCAATTGCAAAGTGTAACACGAAAAAGGACGCTACAGGGAATCACCTTAACAATTAGTTTGAATGTTATCGTTTCCGCGAAGTACTCGCCGCAGCGCTGGCATCGGATCACTTTGACGTTTCTATAAATTCGGTTTTTCTTGCATGCAACATTGTTTGCGAATCAGCGGGCAAGCTTGGTTTCCGCGAGAAGCCCGCGACATGTCGTTACTGCAGTCCTATGTTCGGCGGTATTATGTTTTAAAGATAATTTTATTCAAAGAGTTACGTCTGTTTGTCTGTGTTTTAACCTTCATCCAGCCAACGTATTTGGAAAAAAAGGCGATAAAAAAATGAGAATTGAATAACTCTATTATTTTCTCACCAAATAAGCTGATATTTTCAGGGGATATCAAAAAGCGTGTTTTGCGAGAGAAATTTTGGAATATCTTAAGAACCATACATGAAGTCTTATAGCATGAATCAAAACTAGAAGACTTGTTTGATAACCTCTGAAAATGTGAGATTATTTGGTAAAAAAATAATAGAGTTATTTAATAATCGAATTTTCTGATCCACTTTTTTGCAAATACGTTTGCTGGATGATGGTTAACTAAAATTTGTGATTTAATTTATCATGAATGAACATTTTTTATGCGATCAGGGCGTGATTTTTTACACGTTTTTCAATAACGCGGTTTTATTTGCACGTTTTTTTTTAATGAGGTGTTTTTCTACGACGATTTCTGAAATAACCTGGATTTTTTCATAACGATTTTTAATACACGGTACGTATCCCCCGTGTAAAAAATACTTGAGTGTACAATCATAAAAATTAAATAAAAATACAACTTAAAATTTAAGTGGCAATGTATTAAGATTCATTAATTGCTTCCGGGTCTCCCGTCACATTCTGGGTTTTTCCCGGTTTTACCAGTTACTTTTCAAATTCCCGAGTGCTGAAAAAGTCAAATTTTGTAACGAGTTGCATACAGTATTTTTTGGCACACTATACCGAAAACACTTTCGAATCGACACAATTTAGAATAACATATTGGCCTACTGTTTGCAAACTAAAATATCTGTGCCGAAAAGTGCTACTTTTCGACACACTTTTGAGTGTATAAATAACTATTTTTTACTCAAAAATGTGTCGAAAAGCACTTTTCGGCACAGATATTTTAGTTAGAAAAAGTAGGCCGTTATTTTCAAAACCATTTAATTTTCCCAGCCTAAATCGAAACCTTTCCCACAAAACAACACTACTCACCTGTTTGTGTATATCCGACGACGACGACGACTCTCGCACTTGTTTTCCTGTTTTTGTTTCTTCTGTATGTACCTCCTATGTAGCTATTTGCGGCTCAGTTGCTCACTCTCGCAAGCTGGCTAGATGCGCTCCCTCCGGCCGGTCGGTTCACCGCCGAGACAAACAATAATTCTCTCCGGTCGAATTCTGGTTCTACGTTTTACTTATCAAACACTTGATATTTGAAGCTTCTTCTTGAGATTTTCCCCCTTTTGATTTTTGCTAAACTTTCCACTTCTTTTGCCTTTAATCGCAAACACTACTTTTCCCACACGCTGCACTACCGCGTCAATCACTCGATATCACCACCGGAATAGGGGGAATTCCCTCTTCTATTTTCTATTATTTTCCCGGGACACCAAATCACTTTTGCTCCACTTTTCAGCCTTCGATCACTTTGGAAATTGCTTTCCACAATGCACACGCATTCGGTTTGTAACACCCAACGCACACACCTACAATGGTGGGAAACGACACGACACAATTTCGGATCCAATTAGGACCGTAAAATTCACTGCAAATTTTTTCTCCCATACGCAAAAACGCAAAACGGAAAATCGGCACTCGCGCTCCTCGTCGATCCACACCGCAGCCGATCCAATCGCGTACTGATGAATGCTGAACTGGGCTCGAATCGAGCTCTCCGCTGGCCGTGAATATCCTATCTGCTTTTCCCCTTTGGATGATGCTTCGCTCACTACTGTGCAACTCCAAAAGCTCCCGAATAATCTCCCGCACACAGGGCTATTTGGGCACTACGATTGCATTCAACGGACGAGTGCTGGATGCAATTGCATCACATCACATCACATCACCACCGAAAAAAAAAAATAATACCTAGGTACCCAAACCCAACCAAAACCAATTCCTCCAGATTTGCGCTCACAGATTGACCACCGCAATGGACTGGTTGTCACAGAAGGCGAAGGTGCACGCGCGCGCTCTGTCGTAGAGGGGGGGCAGCCGGCCGGTTGCCGGTTGGGGACCGAGCGAGAGAGAGAGTGGGAGGTGGGAGGTAATGTTGCACATACGTGAGACCAGCGGCGTAGTCAGCTAAACAGCTCCACCATGTCGATGATTCAGTTATTTCGAGTCACGACACTGGGGCTCACACACAAGCACAGCACGCATATCAGCAGCAGCAGGACGGTTGGTTGGATGGTGGTGTTGGTGATGGTGGAAGTGAGGCGGAAATTCGCTACTTTGGGCCTGCAAACTGATGATGACGGCGACGTTGCACAATACACTGACAGGAGGTTTCAATTTTTGGGGGGCATTACGTTCTGACATGTATGCATGTCTTATACATACGGAGATAAGTAAACACATAAAGCGCAAGTAAGAGTGCACGGCGGACTGGTTGTTTTTGTAAATATTTTGCTAAAGCTCATTTTTATTTTGCTGCCTCCGACAGCTTTGGTCGCAGTTTGTGGCACAATATGTGTCTCCAGGCCGGGGAAGGTTGCAAAAAAGAATGCCTGATTCCGTTGCAGAGAAGAAGTCAATTTTAGGTCGATGCATGTGGGACGAAGAATGGATGCAGAAACATGGGTTCAGTGGCATTCAAGAAATTTCTCTTTGATTCTAACACGCGCCTTAGGTGCATAATAAATGAACTGCGTTTTTAGACATTATTTTAAATCAAATGTGTATTTTCTTCATACTCGTTTTTTCACTTATGACGGAAAAGTAATACCTACTATTAAGATTCATGCAAGCCTTTAATTAAAAGTTCTTTGCAAACAGCCCCAATTTTGAGTTTCATGGCCTAGAATTACATCACTTTGTATATTGAGACGTAAGCTCAATGATAATGTCCAGAAAATTTACAGTCCAAAAAGATCTTTGACCAAACTAGGAATTGAACTGACCACCTTCAAGGGATGCCAGGTGTATTTAGAAGACGACGAGATCAACGAGATCGGAAAAATGTCTCATCACATGTCTTCATCGCCACTTTTAAAATTTGCGGGCAGAGGAAAGTGACAAATATTTCTGATTTATAAAACTGTGTCTTGACAGAAGTTCAGGGAATCTCTTAGATGTCATGGGCAACTTGTTGAAGGTAACAGAACATCCTTTGATTTCAACGAACTTCGTAAAAGTTCAGGGAACGTTGTAGAACTTCAGGGAGCTTCATAGATCTTCAGGAAACTTCGTATAATTTTATAAAACTTAGTGACGCTGGTGGTGTAGTGGTATGCGTGATTACCTCTCACTCCAAAGGGCCTGGGTTCAATCTCAGTCGGCACCGTCGGGATTTTCTGAGGCATACAAACTCTGATCACGTCTTCCTTCGATGGGTATGGGTATATTTTATGGGTCGATAGGTAGGGTCCAGGTGCGGTAACTGCCTCCCCTGGCCTGGCGTCGGTAGCATTGGTCCACAGTACGGTAGCATTGGCATCGATGGAAATCAAATCAAGGGAAAAAAAAGTGAAGGGTTGTGTCCGAAGCACGACCGTGTTATTGACGTAGAAATACAGGATTGTTTTTTGCTTAACAATTTAATTAATAATTACAAATTATTAATAGGGGAAATGGGTCTAATGTTGGCCTATGGATCTAAGATTGGGCTCATCGCTTAAAATCTGCTGTTTATCAATTTTATCTAGATGAGCGCGTCATTGGGACGGTACAAATGGATATTTTTGGTCGCTATTGAAAATTTAGTCAATTGCTAAATTTATGCATGGGCTCAAATTAAGGGCATTTAGGCCGACATTACATCCATTTCCCCTATATACATTTTATTCTAAAATAAACAAACATTCAATTCGAAGTTTGAAATTAGGGGACATTCAATATTCTTAATTGAATTCAATTTTCATTTTTCAAAATTCAGTTCCTATCCCATTAAAATGAGGTTCCAAACATGTGCAACCAATTTTTAGGTACCTACTGAATAATGTTTATTTACAGTAAAAAAATCGCTTCCATAAAGTTCAAATAAAGTTCCGACCGAACCTTCAAGTTCCATAAAGTTCAAATAAAGTTCCGACAGAACTTTCAAGTTTCATAAAGTTCAAATAAAGTTCCGACAGAACTTTCAAGTTCCATAAAGTTGGAATAAAGTTCTGACAGAACTTTCAAGTTCCATAAAGTTCAAATAAAGTTCCGACAGAACTTTCAAGCCACATGAAGCAATCCGCACAAGTCTTTATCAGTGGCCCGAATAAATCATAATTCTTATATTTATGCAGTGCATCAACATTCTATCGAAACATAAAAAAAATAATTAAAGAGTAATTTCCTGGATTCGAACCCGTGTATTCGGCATGCGAGCTACGATTGCTAACCACAGCGCCACAAGTGTGTTGGAATACCATGCGGGCAAACACCAATTTAAAATGTATCAAGGTGTTGTGTTTCGTATTCAAGTCAGTCAGCTGGCACTGAAAACTCCAATAGTAGGCGGGACAACAGCTCACTTTAATATATCTCAGATGACGTAGCGGTTCGTGCTGGGGTTCTCACGCAGAAGGACTGGGTCAAACAGCTCCAATTATACTACAAACACTGATAAATCAATACACATTAATGCCTGCCTTTAGAAATAACTTTCATAAAAGTGCGAACTAAATATAGTAGAGGACAAAAACCTTTTTTAATTTATTTTCTAAAAGACCCGTTCAAGTTCCGCCAGAGATTGCTTAGAATGCTCTTCAATTATGGTACCGGAACTTTCAAGTTCTCATAACGACTTAAAAATGAGGCTGCTTAGAATTCTATAAACCACCTTCAACCAAGCTGCTTAAGCCACAAATAGCCTTTTATTAGAACTTTTGGTTACTTGGGTGATCTGCATTGCACAAGTAACGACGGTAGTCCCAAAAAAGCAGATGAAATGAAAGTTGAAGGCAAAGGAAAACTCCAGTTGGGACGTAATAGCTATGAAGAATGAGAATGTAATTATTAAAATTATGATTTAAAGAATTCTTATTTCAAAGGCCCCGTTTACTTCCCTGGTGACCGAATTCTGAACTAAACTGTTCACCATCCAACAGGTCTTGTTGTCTTGCATCTGAACAACTCGACAAGGCAATATACAACTTTGCCAAAACAGCAGCCATCTATCTAGTTCAGCTTAAGTCAAATTGTATACTCGCGTCGCCTGGTGTGATAATTAAGAACTGAGCTGTCCACTATATGTCTGTCGTATGGACAGCAACCTTCTATCTAGTCGAGATGTCGACCTAAACTAGACATTAGTATCAAATGGCACTAGTGGTTAGTGATTTTTTCAAATAAGATACGATAGGTCTTGTCATTCAGAACAACTTTACTGAAGACTACAAACTTCTATCTAAGTCGTACTGTCAAGTTAAAGCAAGCAACAATATGTCAAATTGCACACTAGCGTCACCTTGTGAGTGAATTCTGAACTGAGCTGTCTATCATCCAATAGGTCTTATTCATTAGAACAACTTTTTACGGCCTTGTGTGGCCTTACTACCTTCTATCCAGTCGAAGTCGCAAATAAAAGCAGCGGTAATTTTTACCAAACTTTCAACAACTGAACTGTTCGGTAAAAATCAGGCATTTTAAATCATTAATTTTGAAGCTTCAAAATTAGGAAAACTTCACCGGGATGGCAAGACTCGATTATTTAAAGAAGGCTGACAGTGTTTTGAAATTGAAATTTAGTGAAATAGCTTTTGAAATAAGGGCCAAAATTTTAATGAACGTTCAGCTGTTGAATGTTCGGTAAAAAATTACCGAAGTCGGTATTAATTTCTAAGTGTGTATTGCAGCTAATCCAAATAAATAAAGCAACCAACGATAGAGATAAAACGATTGCTACTACTACCGCAATAAACTCTCTCTGTAATATAGCTTGTTCGGAGTTGTAGAAGGATAATGATATCTCGAGTAACATTTGAAATGGGCCTATGTCCAAAACGTAAACAAATCGGGTTTTGATACCATTATTTAGCACCGCTTGATAACTACTAATCATGTAGGAAGTTCCACATAATCGAGAAAAATCATTAAAAATTACTCGATTTTCGAAACGGCCGTTCAACGAAATTTTTCAATTCATTAATAGGCCCGCACGCTAAAACGGCCAGCCATTTATTTATTTCATTTCATTTATAGGCCTAGTGACGTAGAAGGGCCGATGATTGAAAATTTTCAAATCAAAGCTAGGCCCTACTGCTTGAGACAGGGCCGATGATTTGTTTAGAATTTATTTGACGTTGCGAAAGGGCTTAGCAAAGGGCGTACCATTTCTGATGACAAGAACAACGGCTTAACAAAAATGGCCTATCAATTGAAAGATTTTCAAAAAGGCTTATTAATTTATGAAATTAAATTGTTATCGATTTTCATATATTTTTGAAAGGTTTTCACATATTTTGGAAGTTGTATACTGATGTACAGCTACTATTGTTATTGTGAACAATATAAATGCCTAAAATACTTCAATATTCCTGAATATGAATTGAATAGTGGCGGAAAATTTAAAATTCATTTTCTGGTTTGTTTACGTTTTGGACATAGGCCCATTTCAAATGTTACTCTAGAATTATTGCTTGCCTGCTTTGTTGCAACATACACGGTTGAGGGCATAGCTTGATCGGAATCGAGAAAA